GTCTGCTTCAGGACGAACACGCGACTTGCGTTCCAAAGGTCCGGGAGCAGTGAAAGTCGGTTTGGTGCTCTCTTGTTGTTGCGCCAATCGATGGAAAGGGTTCGTCGACTGGGAATCGGCTTTTGAAGGAACGCTTGTTGTGGGGTGAGAAACCGGCAGAGAAGCAGCAGGGTTTTCTGGACCCTGACCAATTTTCTTGAAGTAGGGATTCTTGGATTCAGCCTCGGGGCTGAGATTACCCGCGGAGGACTGGCCGGGACTGACGACAGGATCTACCGGCGGCGCTGAGATTGTGTTCGAGGCTGGAAGCGCAGTGGTTAATGCCGCGGGAAAGACTTGACTTTGAGTCGGTGTGGCATCCCGAGGAACGATCTCTTCGGGGCCTTCCTCATCTGAAGAACTTTCCTGCTCAAGGCCTTCCAACTCCAATTGAAGCTGCCGCTCTCTTTCTCGTGCCATTTCAAGCTCAGCACGCTGAGCTGCAAGCCTTACTTCCTGCTCCTTCGCCGCGCGAATTGCGTCTTCCTTTCTTCGTTTCTCTTCCTGCTTCTTTATCTTGCCTTGCCTGACCTGCTCCTGAAGTGCAGCAAGGCGCGCTTCCTGTGCCTCTTTCTCCTTCATCAGCTCTTCTTCACGCAGTTCGGCCTCGGACCTAAAGTAGGTGTGCATGTTAGTAAAATGGTTATAGAAATCGGGTTGCAAAAGGGGCATACTCCAAGCGCATGGTCTCTTCCTCTAGTGCACGCTGCTCCACTCTGATGGCTTGTTCACGATTAGATTGTTCTGTTTCCGCGACTGCATTTGCAGCTTTCTTCGCATCAACCTGGTCCGCACTGTCGGTGCGAACCCTTCTCGAAGGTGGTGCTGGGGGAGGCTTCTTGCCAGCTGGTTTGGAGTGCATCACAGGTCCTCGTTGCTCTTCGGCCAGACGTCGCTGTCTCTCTTGTTCCCGCCTGGCATCTTCCTCTTCGGCTCGCCTTAACCGTTCTTCGCGTTCCCTCTTCTCTCGCTCCTGACGCTGAGCAAGAGTTTCAATGGCGCCATTTTGAGGCTTCAGGCCGGCAGCTGCCATTCGCTCAGCAATGCGCTTTTGTGCACGCTCCCTGGCAGCTGCCACCCGGTCCTCATGTGTAGAGCCAGGCAACGATCCCATAGAGCCTGTGGACACGGGGGAGGACCGCACGGCAGGTACGTTCGGGGACAATCTACCGTCATCATGTTGGCGCTGGTCTTTGGCAGTGGCTGGCCCAGATTGTCTAGATGCGAAGGTCAGTTAACGAGGTCGTTCCCAGGGCTCTCTGGCTGCGGTTGATATGGTGTTCATGGGGGATATAGGAGGGACTTCTTACTCGTCCTTACGAATATGGGCGGTGCGGCTACCGCGTTTCAAATCGTAAATAAAGTCCCGAATAACATCTTCCACACCCAAGGCATCTTCCCAACGTCTTCTTTCGTGCTCACGTGTGGAACTCTCGCCACCGTCTTTGAGGCTGTCTTCAAGACTATGTGCGAATTCCTTCACGCTAACTTCCACATCGCGAGTCATCGTCTCATTTTTCTCTCGCTCAGCCTTCACTTTGGCAGCTTCAGCTTCGACGCGACGAGCAGCAGCTCCATCATCATCCTGGGAAGGCGGGAGGGGCCTTCCAGCGAGTTCGGCAGCGCGGGCCTGCATTCTGGCACGCGCCCGTGCCTTTATGAGATCAGCCTCAGTCACAGAGCCCCCGGGCCCTGTGCCAACGATGTTAGAGGCACTGTTAGGATGGTCCTTGGCATCCTTGAGGCGAAATAGCTCTAATCTAGCTTCTGCAATCTCTCGTTCGATGCGCCTCACCTCCGATGCAATTTGCGGAACTTGGTCCTCATAAGCCTGTAGCTGACGGCGTAGCGATCGCCGCTCTGCGCCAGAATCAAGGTTGCGCAAGAAAGCATCTGGGTGGGTGTCAATGTCATCTTGCACACGTCGAATGCGATCCATCAGGCTTTCCGCCTCTCTCCGGTCTCTTCGATCTAAAGCATCATCCTCTTCGGCCTGATTCTCGTCCTGGAAATCCACCGCATCGAGCATTATCTGCGCCTCACGCATCTTCTTCTTCAGTTGTTCGACAGAGAGTTCCTCTTCAGGTGCCTGTGAAGTAGCAGGGGACGGTGTCCGACCATTGTTACCTACACGACGACGAGCGCTGGAGCGATAACCGGCAGCCGCCTCATCGTTGTTCTTAAACAAAGTGGCATCTTTGCGGCCGGCTCCCGGAGAAGTTGAACCACCACGGAATGAATGCTCTTTTAGATAGCTAACACCGGTCTTCTGCGGCTGTAGAAACGCGCCTGAAGCTTTCCGTGTTTCCGCATCCTGTGAAAGCATAGACTTGATTGTGCCGATAGAATCATTCAAATTCCTCGTTGAGGGGGGAACAAGCTCCGGTGGTAGGCGGCTGGGCACTGGATACCCGTTGAGCTTCCTATAGATCAGATGCATCGCAACAGCAAACTCGTCCATGTTGAGACGGCCTCTATTGTGAGGGTCTGCCAGCGTCCAAATGCGCTCTAGGTCTTTCCTGTCTAAGCCGCTTTGGCCCATTATCTCGATCGCGGTGTCACCGCCAATGAAGCCTTTGCGAAATCCGTCCCATGCTCGGAAGAGATCATCATAAATCTTTTTCTCCTCTTTTGTGATAGCCCAGGGAATGCGAGCGTTGCCCGAAAGGCCGGCAGCGGAAAAGCCTCCTTCGCGTCCCGGTTGCGGCATGAGTTGCTGCTTGAGAGCTTCGATATTAGGCAACCCCGACGACGGGGCATTGACGAAGCCCCATTGTCCGGGAACACCGGTAGGCTGCGCAGCTAACCCAAGGGCGGCTCCGGTTTGTGAAGGACTAAGGCTGTACCCGGGACCGGTAGGCATCGGTGGAATAGGATGGCGAGGCCCGCTATAACCCGTGGGCTGAGGGATAGGCATGAACCCTGTTGGCTGGGGCTGCAAATCTTGCTGCCGAGATTGCCCAGGTAGACCTGTGATTTGGGAAGGAAGAGAGCCATGGCCTGAAAAGGATGACTGACTTTGCTGGAAGCCGCTCGTTTGCTGGAAGCCCGTGTGCTGCGCCGCGAGCTGGGTCAAAAGCTGGGCGTTAGTAGGTTGCTGAGGCTGAGGCTGCTTCGGAGCTGAAGGAATAGTTTGATTTTCCATCATTGGACCATCAAAGTTCGGGGCATTTGTCCTCGCGACGGGCTCCGGTTGTGTATCCGGAACTTGGAAAGAGATTATGTCAACCATGCTAGATACCTCGTTCTTGATTGTCTCCGGAAGGGCCTCCGGGAGATCCCTGCCTGTGATCCTGAGGTTGCATAGGTACATTGCCAAAGCGAATTCGGGAAAAAACAGCTGCCCTGACTTGGTAGAATCAGATAGAACCCTGTAATCATTAGCAACATCCTGATACTGGGGACGGAGCTTGGCAACTCACCAAATCTTGGATAGATCACTTCCCGAAAGATTCGACCGTAGTAGAAGCTCCTTGGCTTTCTCTCCTGTGAGAAAGTATCAGTAACCGTGCGAGCTAAGGCTCTCCTAAGGTCGATTCGCATGACTTACCACTCATTGTGTGATTACTCCCTACGGCAGATTTGAAAAGCTGTTCAAATTTGGCCTGATCTTGCGCCGTGATGAATGACAGTCTGATATTGGGAATCTTATTCCCGGCTGACTTGGGCGGCGGCGGCGGCGCCATCCCAGTACTGCCCTGGAATGAGTCTGCCATTTCCGTCGATGTCCTAGGAGCGGGTCGAACAGTAAGACCTGTATTCGATGGGACTTGAAACTGCGCAGTCTGCGGCTGGGGGGAAAGCCCCGTGTATTGTGGTTGCTGAGCTGAAACTTGATAGCCACTCTGAAGCGATTGTGATAATGCTCCAGGGTAACCAGTAAGTTGAGGCTGCAGCTGCCCGGTGGGGAATCCTGTAGACTGAGGCTGTAGCTGAGAGCCCCCTAGCCCGACCAGCTGAGGAGGCGCATAGCCGGTTGACTGCGGAACGAAGCCAGTTTGATGTGGTAGTGGTAGTGGTAGTTGTTGTTGTTGTTGTTGTTGCTGTGGTTGGCTGGGAGGAAATGGCGAGTAGGGGGTCTGTTGCTGTTGCTGCTGCTGCGGCTGCGGCTGCACGAAAGGGGGTTGGCCGGGACGAGCGCTGTTGGCGCCCAGGAAAGAGCTCGACGAAGAATACATTGGCAAATGCACGGTTGCATTTACTGAAGTAGTGGAGAGAGAAACAAGCTCAAAATAAGGAGACGATGGAGAGCGCAGAATAGGGAAAAAAACAAAGGTAAAACAACAGAAGAAGAGCCGGCCGCGCGAACAGGACAGGCAACAGTTTCGGGGGTTTCGGGGGAGGCGGGAGTATTTGGGGGTGGGGGGAACTGGGAAGGGGAGCTGCCGGTGCGTGCATCGGTCGGTGACGCTGACGGCGGTTGACAACTTACATAATCAGGGACGGTAAGTTACTCAGTAATTACTCTGTACTACAGTACAGTAACTACGTGGTTAACTAACTTAGCGTGTTTGTCAGTCAGATAATAACCAAGCCAGCCCAGAGGCCTACCCACAAACCACCTATGTATTGTACAAAGTGTATGTATTATTACTTGTATCACAATCAGTTTGAAAATCATGGTTATATCTAGTTGCTTGTTGCTTGTTGGCCCAATAGCTTTCAATAGATCTGGAGTTATAGAGTCTACAAGGTGGCTTGCTAACTTACCTGGCTTCTTTAGCTAACAATATTGTTTGACCTATTACTACTTGCAAGTTAAGCGACTGCTATTAAGTTACAAGTATCTACTCAAGCTTAAGAAAGTTGATCAACTACTGTTAACTCTATGTACTAGTACATAGTCGCTACTCCCAAGTGCCTGGATAGGCTGAGCCAACGCTCAGCCACCTAGAAGATTAGTGAATTGAAGATGTAGGTGAGTTACGTGTATACCTTCTGACCCTGCCGTTAGAAAAAAAGTGTCACCCTGGAACGCTTAAGGCAACGCATTGAGCAAGTTATAGATTAATCACATGTGAAACAAGCGAAGTAAAACAAGCGATAAAAGCACTTAGTCATGATGGCAGATAAATAGATGCATGCGCGTTTCGATCTGTCCATGCAAACAGAGCCAAGTTGAAAACAGCGGGATATTGACAACAAAGGGTATGATGATAACAGAAACATATCCGGCTGCGTAAGTTTAAAGATTCAGCACGTCAGGAATCGCGTAGCAAGTTTATTCTGCGGACAGCAGCGGATAGTGACTATAGTCCATCCTGACCACCGTTCTGCTGTTGAGTGGCCCCCACCATCTTACGGAGCTCATACTCTTTAGTGAATTCTCGGGAGAGAGTACCCAGGTCGCGCACAAGCTCATGGCAGGCGGTAATAACAGCTTCTTTGGGAGTAATCTCGCCATCTGTCTGTACGCGTAGCAGAAACTGCGGGACAAGCGGATGAGGCACCTTTGTACTTCTTGTCAAAATCCATCCTGGCTAGTAGCTATCAGTGAACGCGAAAGGGCATACCTTATACGCAGCGAAGAGGACGTGAGAGCTTTGTAGCAGGCGAGAACGGATCAAGTTCCCTAGAGTGTGATCCTCTTTATTGAAGGTGAAAATAGCGGAAGAGGGGATGCCTGGTCGAAATCAGAGTTTGTAACATTCACCAGGCAAGGCCGAAAAGGATAAGTGACGCACGAGTGTCTATCTCCATCTCGACTTTGCTTTCGCCACTGGCGAGCACAAATGACTCGTAGCTGGTTGAGGAATAGGTCAGTAGATGGACCTTAACCATCACTTGCGTAGAGCCAACGGATCGAATGAACACAAGGGCACAACACTGTCGATCTGACGGAGCCGACCTTTGCTGCTGGTCATGGGACACATTGATCGTAGACTGACAGCCTACTCGAGGCCCGCCGTTGCCGTGTCTCCAACGAGCATAGGCTGTCTCCGGCGGCAGAAGATATTCCTTGCTCGGACTCATGGCCGCAGCCGTCTAACGTGACAATGACTCGGAGCAGGCAGCAAGGGCTCGGTGAAAGGTGATTGACGTAAGGGTGATGTACAAAAGAATGAGACAAAATGGGGAAACAGTAGCAGCAAACACCAACCAGTGTGACGTGGGAATTTATGGGGAAAGGATGAAATGAACAAGAGCCATTGCCATGCAAAAACTCCAACGTTGAGGTCAATCAATGAATGACAAAAGCTCGGAGCGCAGAGAGCTCGTACAGCTGCACCCATGTACAGGTCTTTAATTTCAAACGATGAATACTGATATGAACAGAAGAAAGAGCCATGCTTCTAACTAAAAGTAATTCTTACCGATCTGGGGCGTTCATCTTGTATTTGGAGTTCAGATATCCAGACGAAGGAGGGCAATTCAAGAGAACCGAAAATAGCCGCGATCCCAACACAGCAGTCAGCAGTATCAGACTCAAGTAAAGAACTATAGAGTAAGCAGAGAGCTGAAGCTGAAGCCAACCCGCTTCCGCTGTATCTTCTTTGTACCTTAGGAAGGGCGAGGAAGGATAATGAAACCTAAGCGGTTGTACCGTAGGTAAGTTATAATAGAGAAGTGATACAGAGGATTCACTTGATCAAAATGAGGAATGCAACTTTCCGCTGCTTGAGCTGAACAAGGGCTCTGTAATGAACAGTGAGATTGTTGTAGATGCAAGCAATTTCGGATAATGCTTTGGTACCGTCTGAAGAATCTCGGAATGCAAGCACGTGATCAGCAGTTACTCGGCTATCAGTCCCCCCTTTTGCGACCAACCACCATTGACTAAATAGTACCTGAAGGTTTTTGCACATTTTTTCCTGCACAAGATAAATAGCTATTATGATCGCGCTTATAAACAGGCTCCAGGATGGCCAGACCGGATGGATGGCGTCTGCCTTTTTTTAAATGTTAAAGATCTGCTCCCAGCTCGAGCTACAATGGTAGGGAATTATATCCCATGACGTTTTCCGGGTAGCTCAGGGAGGGTCACCCCATGTTTTACAGATTATACTTGCGTGGACAAGACACTCGTCTCACACCGAATGGTCGTTGATCTCATCGGAACTCATTATAGAACTACACTCCAGGAGGACGTCGATGTTTTTTTATCTAAGTGAGAGAGACCGAGGATGTAAGATTATTTAATAGATATCGAGTACATATTAAGTACAGGTTCAAAAAGATACATGCGACATGCAGATGAATGCAAAACATCACAACCCGCACTGGGCTAAAGATAGACAAGCCATTAAAACGCCAATCATAAATCCTTATCCAGGTCTGTTTCACGAAGACAAAAGACAGGGAGAAGGCCGCTAGCCATTATCACCATCAACCATATCTCAAGTGAGAACAAGCCAACAATTGTATAGAATCATATCCAGAAAAATAAAAGACTGCAGAACAGTCAGTTTGCTGCGCTGAGATGTCACACAAATGATAACAGATGACTGGGTGAAGGAAGAGATCGCTTTCAGGAAAACAAATCGAGGCGAGAGTGAAAGGTGCATATGCAGGTTTAGGCCTGAGATCTAGGGTATATGCCAGGACATAACTAACCATGCTAATGTACTGCATTGAGCAAGTCCCCAAAACTAGAGGTTTCCTTCTTCATCCTCCAATTGTTCCTCTTGTCTTCTCGCTTTTTCATCATTTCAGCCCAGCCTTCATCGTCATCGTCATCGTCCGCCGCAACGCTGTTACTTGGCTTGGGGTGAGTGGGTATGTGATTATGGCTGGACAGCGGACGATTAGACATGGCCAACCCGGCTGGAGCGACAGCGGAGAGTTTCTCATTCTCATCGTTACATGAATTAAATGTGGAATGGAGAGTCGAAGCCCCAGGATCTGGCTGCATCGTGGAGACAGGTCTATAGCGCGATGCTAACCCGACATTGCTACGTTCGGACGGGGCAATAGAGGGTGCATAGCCTTGACCTGCTGGGGTGCCAGGCCTGAGGGCCCCAGACGCATATGGCAAAGCCGGGGCATTCAACCGAGAAGAGACGTTGGGGTCAAGCATGCTGAGCGTCCTGTGGTCAGCTTGGTGACCAGGCGATGCACCGCTCATAGTGTCGGCTGACGGCATCGACGACGGCCGCATGTTGACACTGGCTCCCAGACCGGGTGGAGGGCCGCCCTGAATCGTGGTTTGAGGAACGTTCTGGCCACCCTGGATTTGAATCATCTGTTGCATCCATTGCATCTGCATCTGCACCATTTGCGTCATTTGCTGTGAAAGTTGTATTTGTGCCTGCTCCGTTGCAGATATCGATGGCTGCGAGCTAGTCATAGTGGTCGAATTCAGGTTCATCATAGTGTAAGGCCTGGGAATACCACCAGGATGGACTGCCGATCCGGGTACTCCACCGGCCTGATAGTCATACATGGCTTGAGTGTTGGGACTTCCCCTTCTCATCGCTCTAGCCCGTTCCTCAGTAGCAATGACCCCCACTAAGCCTCCTGGAGGTAACGCGGGCGATTGGCCACCATGCACAGACGCGCCTCCTCCTAGGGCTAGAGACTCTCTGTTAGAGGGGTTGACCAGGCTTGCACCAAAATATGGGTCTCGAGGCAGATTTCGGGCGAAGACAGGTAAACTACTACGGTTCGCCAGATCCTGTTCTGCGGCCGACCCGGGAGACGATATATATGGCTGTTGAAAGGAGTTTCGAAGATTGGGTATAGAGTTAGAAGGCGTTAGGCGACTGGGAGGCCGATTCCTGTTTGGGAAACCATGTGCTGCAAGAATCCCCAATGGAATCTCTTCGTCATCATCACCATCACTGCTCTTGCCGCTTCCGGATAGATTGCCTTGTTGCAACAAGTTTGGTGCACTCTTGCTGGCCCGATCAATGTCTGTCGGCAGGGCAGGAGCGGAAGATTGTTGGCCCGTCACTTTCATCATTTGCTGTCGGTAGACAGAAAGATGAGCCTCCTGCTTCCGTCTTTGCCTTTCAGCCTCACGGTTGTTCTCTGTTTCATCCTCCTCTTCGTAATCGCTCTCGCCGGACTTCTCACTTATAGATGCGTCGCTTGTGGATCTTCTGAGCTCCTGTTGTTGTCTATAGTGTTCAAATTGGGAGGGCGTCATAATCTTATTTGCTGAAGAGGCAGATTCTGGTTGATACCTTTCGTATTGTGCGGCCAGGTGAGCATGTGCCGCAATTGAAGCAAGGTTGTTGTGTTCCGCTGGTCCAACTAACGTCGGAGGTCCCTGGTGCTCAATATGAGCCGCACCCACTGACAAGTCTTCGTTTTGGAAAAGGGATGACTCGTTCTCGGGGTCTGAAACTCCTTGGTCGGACGTGGATGATACCTGTACACCCTTTTTGCCAGAATAAAGAGACTCCATGATTAATTTAGCATCTTCGTCGTCGACAGGTGCGGAGTCGCATTTGCTTGTATATATCACACTTCGCCTCAATCCCTTATCAGAGGCAGTCTGTGGTTTATCGAGAGATCGATGAGAGGTAGTAGCGGCCGCAAACGTCACGACATGGGGTAGCGCTGCAGATCTTGGCCTTTCTCCTGCGGAACCTGTACTCAGTTCTGGGCGTGCATGCTGTCTACCTAGCTGTTCTCTGGGCGAATCGATGGCTGCGAGTAAACCATCTTCAGAATGTCGGCTGTCCCAGGAGTAAGGAGACGGCTCAACTTCCTGCGATCGATCAGTATCGATGGGTGTTGGGCGGGGGACCCTTTCATCTTTTCTTGTAGGACTATCGTGTTCAGACTTGCGTGGTGCTGACGAGTCCTAGAAGACATGTTAGAACTCGACACCGACTGGCTTAATGTAGAAATCAGCAAAGACCCTTACGGAGTCTTTGAGGGGGCCCTGCGGCAGGGTTGAAAGTAGAGGCAGAGACATCGACATACCGGTTGTAAAGCTCTCTCTTGTGATGAATCCTGTGGAGCATAGTAGCGCTTTTCAAGGCTACCGAACATGTTCTTAAAATCGTCTTCCATCTCATTGAATTGCAGCTCTGTCTCGGGAAGTCTTGGTGCGGTCGCAGTGTTTGTTGTGCTCGCAGTCATAGCTCGGTTTCTTGAGGATCCAGACATGGATGATTGAGATTGCGGAGCCGCAGCCGAAGTCTTCGAAAATCTCCCACCGAAAGAAAATGTTCGCCCGGCTGCCCGAAGTGCACCAGAGATAGGAGGAATTGGTATCTCGTACAAATTCCGCGAATGCGGGGACTGAGCCTCAATCGGAGGCGCTCCGTCTGTTGACCGGCGTGTAGACTGAGAAAAGCGGGCCGAAGGATTTCCTTCGTATGTACTTTTCCACCACGATCATTAGTACCTTGATAGTAGGAAAGTGCAGTGGGGAGAGGATCATACGAATTGCGTGAATGGTGGTTTTCCGACGCTGCAAATATGTTGCTATCATCGTCTTCGGATGGCGAATACAGAGGTTGACCTTCGCTTAGCCTCTTCGACATCAGGTTGCCATCGCTGGAGGATTTCTTGTCGGCGGATGGTCGTTCAAAAACCCTAAATGATGACTGAGGAGGATTTTCCACCTCCTCGAGAGCATTGCCAGACGATTTTCGTCGAGCGAAACCTTTGGGAAGCTTTATTGGCATCTGGACTGAAACCGAAGCGACCACTAGCGAAGCCGGAACCACTTCCAGATGGGATTAGCAAGCTACGCCAGCTCCCAGAATCCGCAATACTCCAGCCCCTGCCTGTTGGCGCTATTGTTGTCCCATAAAAAGATTACCGGCGTGGTGGAGGAAGGGAAATTGGACTGAGGGACGGCCCGCGTAGCTGAGGGAGAGAGAATCGGCGTGGGTTTTCGAAAAGGGTGCTGCGTGTGCTTGGAATGATTCTGGGCCTTGTCTGAAAACCGCACAGATTTCGATCGCAGCGGGGCGAATAGAAGCCTGCTCACAAGAATAATGATATTTCAAGCAAACAAGTGGATGACGTGAAGGAAATTGAGATAGCGTCAAGGCAGATCAGTGAGTGGTAGATGTGGATGCTTGGGAGGCTTCGAGCTCACTCAGGGGTCTCCGAAGAATCTGGTTTGAAGAGGCGAGGTGGCCCAAGGGAGCTTTCTTTCTGATACAGCGTATACCGTATAATGATCGATCAGCAGCGGCTGGGACCCTCACAGTCCACTAGCGGGTCCTTGAAAGGGGCTGGTTGGTTGAAGTGATTTTCTTAAGCGACTTAACTTCTTAAGTGAGTTCCCAGCATTAGTGGATATAGAAGAGGGGTTGACTGTGGGCGTATGAACGATGAACGATAGCTAGGTTTTCTGCGACGGGGTCTCGAAAGGCAAAACGAAAACAAACCTGCCTAGGGGACAGGAGAGAATGAGGGGAGAAGAAGGAGATGGATTCGATTAACAAAGACAGCTCGGAGCGCAACCCTAGTTTACTAACTCAGTTAGTGGGCCAACTAGTCACTTTGATAGACTAGACTAGAATAGTCCAGTTTTCCAGGTACGTATTATTATTTTCGACTGGAATGGATTATGGATGGAATGGTAGTAGTTATAATACAAATGCAATAAGGGCGGCAAAAATAGAGGAACTCAGACAGCTAGACACCACTTGAGTTTTGAGTACTAGGTATCCGCACGTATGTACAATACGGAGTACAAAGTAGATTTCACCATTACAATATGAAGTCCGTTTGTTATATGCTAAGGACTCTTACAAAGTTAAAATGAAGCAACAATTTCAACCAAAAGGAATCGACTCAGACTCGTGACTTGTCATTCTTGACAATGGGTTGGTGGTTACTGGACTACTTGAAGAAACCTGCATCTCACGAGTCCTCAACACTGTCTGTCATCAGAAATCCAACAGACCCTGGATGTGCCAGTGGGGTGTGGAACCCAAAACACACGTACTCAGTAGTCTCATATCTAAGCCTCATAGGGGAGAGGGAAGGGAGATGGGGGGCGAATGTTGCTAATTATAGCAGCACCCTTCTCTCCTTCCGCCCGTGACGGAGACTCCTCCTTTTTCTGCTTCTTCTTCTTCTTCTTCTTTTTTCTCCTTCTTCTCCTCCCTCATGGAGCAGGCTTGGATAACTCAGCCAAGTTCTGTTCATAGTATGTAATGTTGGTAAAATATTTTGTGTGGCAGAAAGCTCCCTAGAGGAGAAGCCTGTTCTATAGACGACGAATCAAACGAAGAGGGGCGGGGGGCGGGCCCGACTGTGCCTGGTGCCTGTTTGGAAAAGTCCGGCTGCGGAACCAATCTTATACGGTACCTACTGAGTAAAAGGGGAGTGATGTAAATTCAGACTTCGGTAGGAAGCGAGTGGCAGTAGCGATGGGGATGAAGAAAGAAGTACAACAAAGGTCCTCAGATAGAAGCAGAGTGTGAAGAGTTGGGCGGCGACTTCAGCCTGTACCACCAATTTTACTCACTCTGTATACGGCAGTTATATCATCCATCTTTATGACTGTCCGGCAACGCAAGGGGCCGCGGAAAGGTTGGCTGGTTCGCTTCTCAAGCCCGCTGCTATTGATTCAAATTTATTGGAGGCTTGAAGCACCAGGTACTGTACCAACCGGGAAGCTTCATCGGTCGACTCGGGAGGTACTATCTTATCACATGATCATACAACTACTCCGTAGCTTGTGAAGGGCTACAATACCACACTTGTATGATATACACTCTGTTGTAACCACAGTATGGATGCGCGGACTCGATGTGTATGACGAGCTGTCTTCATGCACAGACTATATCCATTGTAGACATTAACAAACAAGGTCTCACCTATTCAGGTTCTATAACCAGCATTCCTAATTCAAGAGCTCCGTAGTAGTCACTCTACTTTAACATTACCTACTGGCTGCCAAAACTAGTTAGCACGTGATAGCATACTAGGTTCATTCGAGTCCCCACCATCACGCATACATCAACAGATTATGACAGAAACACACACGTTGGAATTAGTTATCGTGGCTCATGTCCCTTTCGTCATCCTTTCACAATAAGAAGAATCCCCAAGTGCATTCGAATTAGTAAGCATACAAGTCAGCATACAAGCCAGCCCTCCCTATCTCTCCCAGTATCTTTACCAGTGGCTTCATAAACGATACGTAGATTGTCAATGCACTGAGAAGCCCCGGGATGAAGGCGATGGCACTCCAGGTAAGCGGGTGTTTGACTAGACCACAGAAGGCTTCCTGCAAGGTATGAGATTAAATGACCTGACCATATTTCCTGATTTCGAGAGTATGTTATGAAGACAACAAATGAAATCAATCCGTAATACTTTTGACCCTAGTACCCATCCTTCATTCCCAGCTGATTTAAGAGTCCCCATCTTGTTAGAGATTGAAAACCATCGATTGCGATTGAGAAGTTCCCTCCAATACAAGGGAGTCTTGTGCCTTCAAGCCACCTATCAGCGCAACACCTGGAGGTATCTGAATATGGCGGATGTTGAAGCAGGCGAAAGCCACCAACTTTTGTATGTTTGGGCAACTTCGAAAGATCTGACCCACGAGATAATCATCCATAACCGTATGGAACGATACGTCGAGCTCCCTCAGTCGGGGATATGTGCGCCCATCCGAGAAAACCTCGGCAAAGGCAGCATGTGATATGTGACGACAGGACGAGATATTCAACTTGCGAATCATAGAGCCTGAATGATTCATGAGTGCAATAAACCCATGAGATGCAAGTCCTGTGGCTTCTGCCGGACCATCTGGGTTAGCATTATCAATATCACGGGTTGATGAAAGATCCACTATTTCTAGAGCAGGATTTGGCCAGTCTGCAAAAAGACGCACGAATCCCTTGTCAGTGCAGGTGACGTTATTGGAGAAGCGTAACTTGTTCAAGGTCCTGCACTTGGCGTGAATCATGTCAAGCAGATGGTCATCCGCAATAGTGAAGCCTTCTAATGACAATGTTTGCAAGTTTGGCCCCACCTGATTTATGGTCTGAAGAAGAGTTTCGTTCTCCACTTCCTGGTAGAAGTGTAAAGACAAATGCACCAAGCTTGTCAGGTTAGAAATAGCTTGAAGTGAACGGTCCCCAAGCTTCCAGCAGTGTTTCAATTTCAAACACCGAAGTGCAGTACAGTAGCTGGTCAACGCCTCCACGGTTTCGTTGTCCAAAGAGCAGTCAAGATTGGACAATTTGAGGCTCTCTAGCTGTGGTCCTAGCCCTTGGAACAGCTGTCGCCATGAGGAATCGGACACCAAGTTGGTAGCATCTAACTGTAAACTCTTTATTCGGAGATCACGGCTCAACATGTAGTCCACGACCTGATCTTTCAATTGACCTGCAAAGCGAAGGTTGACATGAGTCACAGAAGGCATGAATGCGAAAATCTTCTCAAAGTCCTGTGTTTCAAGCTCTGAGTGTCGTCTGTTAGTTCCCATTGTTTGGGGGAAAGCATGGAAGAGCAAAGAGCTGAACATTTGGGTGATAGAAAGAGTGAGAATGCCACAGAGGATAAGGGAATTGAACTGGAGAGTATGACGTACTAGCGGCATCGAAAATATCGATAGAGTTAAGGTCTGAGCGAAGAAATAGATTGAGAGTCCGAGGTGTCATGACCCGCCTTTTGGAGAGTATCTGACTCAGACGAAGCAATAGTTGCGGTGGCAAGTCACCAAACTCTTCGATATCGTTGATATTATCTGCAACTTTCTACCAGCCATGGTATTAGGTCAAAGCGCAGCGACTTCAAGGGTGTGGCGATCAGCGTACCTTCGTGCACATCTCGGCCAAGCTCAGGGCACCTTGTTGAGCAAGTCCGTCGAGAAGTTTGCTCTGATTTTGACGTCGACTAGTTCTTGGCCCGCGCTTCTTTGCCTTTGCCTTTCTCTCGCTGTCTGTTTGTGCCTTTGAGCATTTAGCACAAAGAAGACCGTGGTTTGGTCCTGTCTTGCTGTATGGAGTGACTGTGAAGCGTTTACCGCATAGCTCGCAATTGCCAAGCTGGCCCGGCATCGGACGCGATCGTTCGTGCATCATCTCGCGGGCGATGAAATCGTCATCATCATCTGGCTCGCCAGTTCGTCGCGCCTTGCGTCGGGCGAACTCTTTACTTTGCTTGATTTTGGCCAGAGCAACAATCTCTTTACGCTTTCGCTTCTTCTGCTCTGGCGACTCACTAGTGCCCTCATGTGCAAAGTCTTCATCATAGTTTTCTTGATCCTCATCAACCTGGCGTTCTGCATCTCTCAAACGTCTTTGGTAGTCTTGATGTATTTGAGCCGCGGATATGTTGTTGGACTGGAAAACGGAACATTAGAAACTCTTTCATACTGGGTGAATGGCGAGGTTAAAATTTGAACAGTACATACAGCGAGGAAATCGGTAAGTGCCGAATGCCTATGATGTATCATGAGTAGTCCGTCGTGATATAGAGATAATCCGGGAAGTGTCATTGAGAACATACGGGCCTCGGATTTGGTTCCTTGTCTGTCTTCTCTCGCTCCTTCAACATGTCAGTGAGACACACAGCGGCTTGCTCAAGGTAATGGTACATACATTTTGGTTGAATAGATCAAACTGTAGATGGGATATGAGATACGTTTGGAAAGCTCAACTTCTGCAGCAGAAATGATCAGCAGGGTTATAATGGGAGGTCCTGGCTGGTCACAGGATTCCGTGCCGATTTCGCGTTCCACTTAACGCGAGGTCCACCAAGGCGGCTGCTTATCGCCTCCGGGGTGGCAAATCAAGGAATACTTGAGAAGGGATTGAAGGTTTGAAGAGATAGGTCCGAAAAACCAGTACTTTGGTAAGTGGATCGGGTTCACTTTGTCTCTTTCTTTCACTGTTGCCTCTCTGCCTTTCTCTTTTTTTTTCTCTCTTTTCCGTCGCATTTCTACCTGTCTCTGACTCATCTGTTTTCTCTGTTGACTGTCCTTTGCCTCTTTCCGCTAACCTCACATCGGCTATACCCTGATCCCGCACCTTTCTTATCGGTCATCCATCCCTTCACACATTACACTGCTGATAATACCCGCGATCCACCGACTACGAGATCCATCCCACGGGTATCAGTCTTTTCTTTACACTGTGACCAGACAACCAAGTGATCAACACAATGGGAAGAAGTCCATCTACCGGTCAGCAAGGGCGGGTATCAAATACTGGTAAGGCGAAGACTTGCTATCTTTTCCCATGCTGAATGACACGAGTGCTCAACCTGCAATAAGTCATAACACAGTGAGAACAAGACTTGGAGGTATTATGAGAGATGGCGACTCCGATACTAGCTGACATGTGATGTATAGACCCCGTGGCAGTCTTTCCCAGACGCACTTCTGCGCGGCTGAATCGAACGTCTTTGACCTCGTCAGTCAGCATTTCCCAGGCAGAGAACAATGACAGATGCGGCCCTTTCCCAGCGACTATGGGAGATCAAGAGATGAAGCCGATATCTATCGAAATTGCTATACCCTCCAGAAAAGCGGCAACATTATCCGAGTCTGAAACTTCTCTGCTGGACGAGGGTTCTTCCGGGGTCTCAACGCGAACATACAGTACGCCAGCGACCAGCACTGCAGCTACACCAGTCGAATCTGATGCACCTGGGTCGAAGAAGCGAGTTAGTGCCTCTGCTCGTGCACGAGAACTACATTCAAGCACTATGTCCCTAAACCCATCCCGAGGGTTGAAGAGACCTGCCGCATCTATGTTTTCTACGACCTTCACGACGGATGCTGCTCTAGCGGAGGCTCTACAGGCTCAAGAATTCCAAGGCCGGTCACCAAAGCAACCTAAATCGTCACGTCATTCTACTCCAGGCAGCAATTCCTTTGCAACTGATATGGGACACTCAGTAGAAAATGAGAGTCTCCATGCACAGCATCTTTCCCTCAGAAAACGGCCACTTCGATCAGCTCAGATTAGCAACGTTCTGTGTGATGACGAACCTACAGGTGACGAGATGAGAACTGACCAAACGGATATCTTCTCAAGTGAATCCGATCTCAGCGACTTTTCGTATTCTCTGACCGAGGTCAGCGAAGATGAAGATGCCGAGCCACAGGAGCCAACCAGAAGTAGGACTGTACGGAACTCTGGAGTTTCAAGGACGCCACGACAAGTTCCTATATCGGCTCGAAGCAGTTCTTCAGTCCCAGGGGATCTTTGGATGACCCGTCGGGTATGTCCTTTGAATGAAGTTGCTAGAAATGTATCACTAAATCACTCTGTAGGCTATCAGGGAACGGAAGAAATTAGAGAAGCAGCACCCATCCGTCACCACGATGTGGGATGATTTGGCAAAAATGCCTCCAATCAAGCCGGTAGCGGCAAATCAACCAAGTGGTATTTCAAGGACGCTCAAGTCATTCCAGCTCGAGGGTCTCAACTGGATGATGCAGCAAGAGCAATCACAGTATAAGGGAGGTCTCCTAGGAGATGAGATGGGAATGGGTAAAACAATTCAGGCTGTTTCCCTCATTATGTCCGATTACCCTGCCGGAATGCCATCGCTTGTGGTAGTACCTCCAGTTGCTCTGATGCAATGGCAGTCCGAGATCAAGGTTTGTCTCTAAGTTTCTCTCAGTGTTTCAACATGACTGACTTCTTTTCTTCAGGAGTACACCAGTGGTGTATTGAAAGTTCTTGTCTATCATAATTCCAACCCCAAGGTCAAGACTCTTTCAAAAAAGGAGTTGGAAACATATGATGTGATTATGATTTCTTGTAGGTGATTAGATGTGCTATAACATGGAACTGAGACTTAAAATTTTTCAGATTCTGGCCTTGAGTCAATCCATCGCAAAGAGTGGAAGGGTTGGAACAGAAATGATGGGATCGTGAAGGAGGACAGTAAGTGATACACATTTCAATGTGTTTCATATGCATACTTACAACAACGCAGGCGTCATTCATTCCATCAAATACCACCGACTGATCCTGGACGAAGCGCACAGTATCAAGGTAAGCTTGGTGTGTCCGCTTTTGACTATGGCTCGACTACTAAAACCAAACCACTAGCAACGGACAACGAGTGTTGCCCGCGCCTGTTTCGCATTAAAAGCCAAGTTCAAGTGGTGTCTCTCTGGCACACCGGTTCAGAATAGGATTGGCGAATTCTTCTCACTGCTTCGTTTCTTGGAAGTCCGACCTTTCGCCTGCTATTTCTGTAAGCAATGCAAGTGTCAACAACTTCATTGGTCACAGGATGCAGAAAAACGGTGTACTACATGTAAACATAGGTAAGTTTCATTTCAGAGCTTTGTGTGTTGTTTTCTAATGTTAACATCGACTGTAGTGGCTTCAGTCACGTGTCCGTTTTTAATCAGGAGATTCTCAATCCCAGTAAGAGCTTCACAAGTCATCCACTTCTTGAGACTAGTCTAACTGAGAACAGTAACCGAAAGAGACAATGCTCATGCTAGAAAGGAAGCTTTGGCAAAATTGCGCCTCTTGACAGATAGGATCATGTTGCGACGAATCAAGCGAGATCATACAGCTTCTATGGAGCTTCCACCCAAACGGTTTGTTACATTCTGCAATTTGATTGAGCTGCGCTGACTCGTCTCCAGTGTTGTCATCCGTAATGAATTCTTTGGAGAAATCGAACGTGATTTCTCTAGGAGTATCATGACAAACTCTACTCGTCAATTTGATACCTACGTGAGCCGCGGTGTCATGCTGAACAATTACGCCAATATTTTCGGACTTATCATGCAGATGCGACAAGTGGCGAACCATCCTGATCTCATTCTGAAAAAACATGCTCAGAGCGGACAGAATGTTCTTGTCTGTAGTATATGTGATGAACCTGCAGAGGAAGCTATCAGATCTCGCTGCCATCATGAATTTTGCCGCAGATGTGTCAAAGACTATGTTCAATCCTCTGGAATCAAGTCTGTGGTCGACTGCCCTCGTTGTCACATTCCCTTGTCGATCGACTTCGAGCAGCCCGATATCGAACAGGAAGAGGAGCACGTCAAGAAGAACTCTATCATCAATCGCATCCGAATGGAGGACTGGACGTCATCGACTAAGATTGAAATGCTGGTTTATGAGTTGTACAAGCTTCGAAGCAGAAAACAGACACATAAATCAATCGTCTTTTCGCAATTCACCTCCATGCTACAGCTTGTCGAGTGGCGCCTACGCCGAGCCGGATTTAATACAGTCATGCTCGACGGCACAATGACACCAGCGCAACGGCAAAAGTCGATTGAATACTTCATGAACAACGTGGATGTCGAGGTGTTTCTTGTCTCACTCAAAGCAGGTGGTGTAGCATTGAATTTGACCGAGGCGTCGAGAGTCTTTATCATTGACCCGTAAGTTTTCCAAAGGCGGTGGATCTTATCTTTCTTCTTGTCCACTGATGTTTCATGGTCCTAGATGGTGGAACCCCGCCGCTGAATGGCAGAGTGCGGATCGCTGCCACCGCATCGGGCAGCGCCGACCCTGCGTCATCACTCGACTCTGCATAGAGGATTCAGTAGAATCTCGCATTGTCCTACTACAGGAGAAGAAGGCCAATCTCATCAATGGCACCCTTAACAAGGATCAGGGGGAGGCCCTTGAAAAACTCACTCCAGAAGATATGCAATTTTTATTCCGAGGATCCTGAAATGCATAAGACACGTGGGTGGTCCGGGCCTGACCTGTTATTCATTATCGCATGGCCATTGTTGATGCCAGGAAATCTGCCAGGTATCCCGTGCTATCAGTAGATGGGGATCCACTTGTTCCACTGAGACATAAGAGTACAATCAGACACTCTAAAGTGCCTGGATCATTATCCGTGGGATGGTTGGTCATACACCAGAACCGAATTCAAGGCGGCAGCCTAGAATGACGTCACTCGATTGCGATAAATTTAAATGCAAATACGAGTATTCAGTCTGCATTCTGTACATACATGGGGACATGGAATACCTCTCTACTGTGAATAATCGCTCCCCCTCTCGTCCTCGTTTTAAGCAAACTTAATCTCTTACCTAATATCATTCCAAGTCTCGTCGGCGCATGGTACTCTGGAATATCGAAGTGTACATCGATCAGGGACTGTGTACAGTGGACACTGTATAGGGCGGGCTCATTATTAGGTGCCGTGGACTTTTAATTGTTAAGCGACGATGTACCTGTTTATTACCTATTACGTACTGAAATCTTTGTAACTGATTAGGTGGAACGTGGTCTCCGCTACGCCCTACAGGGAGACTCGGTCCCGTCCTTCCGTCATCGTCCAAACCTCCTGGGGACACGATCGACGAGAAAGAAGCATTGCCGAGACCAACAACAATCACTCACTCTCTCACACACACCCTCTTTCTCTCTTCTCCCCCACACCCTCTCCCCTTCTCCCTCATTCCTTCCCTCTTCCTGTGGAGGGGCCGCATGATGTCAGTTCCCCCAACTCCGAGGTTTGGTTGAATGAATTCCCAACCACGTATTTTTCTTATTTCTGGTTCGGATCTCTTTCCTAATCGCCCGCAGCTTCTCTTGAAAAGAGGAATCGAAACACAAAACAAGGGATTGAGATAAGAAAGAAGAAGAGAAAGGAAAAGAAAAAAAAAGAGCAAGCACATTCTAAAAAGAACACGGAACCGCAGACGTCTCCTGCATCATCCTGCGCCTGCTTGCTGATCCCCGCACACTCTTGCAGGTAACTGGCGGACCCGCGGGCCCCTACCCCATTACTTGCTATCGTACTTCATTTCGTCCAGCTTCCACTCCTTCCCTCCGCCTCCCATGGAACAAGCGCAACCGCGGACACGTCGACGGCGTCCGGTAGATAAGTATGGTCCGAGATTTTTCGACAAGACAGAGCACGTGCAAGACAGAGCGGCCGCCATGAAGGCCACTTTGCACGGGGACGAACGCTCGCAATCGCAACCTGCTGGAGGCTTTGATAGTACCCCGTATCCTTATGCTCCGCCAGGGTATACCGTCAAATTCACTTTTCATCGTGGCGTCAACCTTCCTTGCGCGGATTTTGGTACCTTCTCTTCGGATCCCTATATTCATGCTCAATTAATCGTTGACCTTCCGCAACGTCACAAGCAAGATCCCGTTATCTCGTTCCGAACGCCTACAGTGCGAAAGAACCGAGATCCAATCTGGGAGAAGGAGTGGATTGTGGCCAATGTTCCGGCATCGGGCTTCCAGTTGAAATGTAATGTTTACGATGAGGATGCGACCGACCATGATGATAAACTTGGAAACGCCTACGTTGAAGTAGACTCAATTGATGAAAATTGGCCTACTATCAAGGAACAATCTTATCGTGTCAAGAAGCGACTGGGGAGCAAACGAGTATACTTGTTCGGCAACATTGCCGCCTTGGCTTCACGACGCCTCGACGTGGCTTCACACTTGGTGATCAGCATCGAGTGCCTAGGCAAGACGCCCGGTGATGAAGGAGCGCATATGTACACCGTTGGGCCGAATTACTGGTTCAAGCATTTCTCTCCCCTTATTGGCAGGTTAGCAGGCACCAAGGACGAGGTTCAGAGCCAGAATGGCCAAAAGACAATCAGTCGATACAAGTACGTCTACCTGTTCCAATCCAAGCCATGTACAACGAATTCAACAAGCTCACTGCCCACATTTTAGCTTTCAAGCTATTCAGATACAACTCAAAGGCCCTGTGCCCGCCGAGCTGTATCATCGATATGTCGAATTCAAACCATTTGTGGCCGGAATGTTCACGTCCCACAGTCTTCGTGGCAGGATTCTCAACCGAGCGCTCCATCATCAACATGAGCGCATCTACAACTTCGACAAGACAACTCTTACCGGTCAATTCGCATCGCCGTGTGTTGAACTTACCCAGAAGTTTCTAGAGTTTGTTCACTATGCCCAGGGTGGGAGAATCTTCACCTACGTTATTACACTTGACGGACAATTTCGCTTCACGGAGACGGGAAAGGAATTCGGCATTGATCTCTTGAGCAAGCACACCATGCATAGCAATGTATCAATCTATATCGCGTATTCTGGGGAATTCTTTCTTCGACGACGAAAGCATCGCCATCACCGACAACCCGACACCCCGCATCCTTCAGAAACTTGCAATTATTCCGCGGACGAGTCGCAAAATCACTTGGAAATATCGGTCGATCCAGCTGACTACGAGCTTTTCATCGATAACGATAGCGGCACCTATCGTCCCAATGCCGAGTATCTTCCTCTTCTCAAGCAGTTCATTTCATCCAACTTGGTAGGTCTTCATATAACCACACTTGATTGCAAAAGGGATGCTGCGCAAATGGAAACATTGAAGAATGAGCAGCGAGAATTCAAAAAGCATGAGGGAAATCAAATGATTTTCCTTCAGCGAAGTAACAGCTCATCACTCTCTCTTTCCAGCTCAGACGAAGAGGACCTGAATGAACGCAGCGACACGCACGCGCCACGCAGAGCAAGGGGGGACCTGGCGCATAAGGTCCACGAGATGCGCGATGTCAAAGGCCAATTAATAAACTGGGCGCAAGGAGATGACTATGCCGGCTCCAGGTTCAAGGCGGGCAATTCCGTACAAGATCAGAGGGGCCTTGAAGGGGGTACCGTGGATTCATAAATGCCCGACTCTTTCATGTCCAGGCACACCGAAATCCCGCTTGCGTCGACCTATTTCGTGCAGGGCTTTTGCAATGATCCCTTGCTGAACATCCTCGAAGCTTTCTTCCATCCTTCGTTCCTCTTGGCCCTCATATTCTTATTTTGCCTCTCAATAGGCTCTTCGCTCTGCTCTCTTGCGCGTCTCCTCAGCGATTATGCTTATCTATTATACCTTCGTTGTCAGGCCCGCTCATTGATTTATTCTTAATGTTCATGACACTATTGTTTCGTCCTAAGCTCAGAACAGCTAATAATACAACTGCTTGCGCCACTGTATGAATCTATTCTCATTCATGATTCCAGCCCGCCTGTGGGGATCTCCGGGTATCTGCTTTATCTGATTGTCTGGTGGTTATTGAACTTGCGCTCGACGAGTAGCATGCAGCCAGTATGTTGCTCAGAGGTAGTATGCTATGGACTCGATACAATAAAACAAGTATGCGGCTTATTCAAAGGACACTGGTTGGTAGCATGCAGAATAGCTGTGTGGTCCTGATGGCGTTCCTAGAGCACCAAAAGAAAAGAATAACAAAGCAGGAAGGAGACAAGTTGATTACCCTGTGTCTCAAATGGCTCTCGCAGGTCACTATTACTATGACTGGACATGCGCTCCTACTTGACAGCTGCTTTGTGAAACACCCACCGTTCTATCTGCTTTGCGAGCACGGAAGGGAGCCCGCGTCTTATTACGTTCAATGCAACCCATCTAGGACGACAGGCTGCGCACTAGAAGGAAATTGCGGCGAATTGAAACATATGCTTACACGAGGGGTAGGAGAACTGCCTGGTACGGCTGTCATATGACTGAATTCTGATAACGAAAGTGTGGGGTGAAAGAAGCTGACAGGAAGCTGTTGACAGGCATCATGAAGGAAGTGGATCATGGATAGGTAGCTTGATAAACCTCCTCCTCAGAGGAAATGACGATACGTACCGTAAGGAGTAATAGAGAAGGAAACAACCGTCAAAACTGGCACAAACAAACACAAGCGGCTTTCGTTGTCGCAGGTCAGCCGGCAGAGAAATGAGCATCTTACCCGATTTTGCCTTAGCCCCCGGCGGGTCTGACTGCTTCGCCGTGGCCTACTTACCTACCCTACGTCCCTCTTTCTTTCTCACCCACTCTCAGATCGCAAACAACTTCAAAGGCCAGATGCCATACCTGTTCCTCGGGGTTCTCGTTTGTCGCGTCTTCTGCAGTTCCTGAAGGGCTATTATTTGGTTTTGATCTGTCTGTCATTCTGAACGTGCTCCATTTTCACCTCTCTTGTCCTTTGCCATCACCCCTCTTCCCCTCCTCACTCCCTCACTCCCTCCCTCCCTCCCTCCCTTCGCCTCCTCCCCGCGAACTTCGGACAACACCTCCTCCTGGCTTATCATACTTGAACTCAGAAGAGCACATTCTGCTCCTTCCTCTCAGTTACCATCGCGGAAGCGATCCTTCCTCCGCGCGCACGCGATTTTCGTGACTTTCAGCACACAGTACACAATCGTCTCGCAGCGAGCAACTTTGGTCGCAAATAATTTAGTGATCCATTATTTATTTGAATGACGACCCATTCTCTCGATAATCTCATTCTTTTTCGCCTTAGTCTTAGTCTGGTGCAACATCCGGCTACGAGACCGCAGACTGTCGATGCCCCCTCCTAGCCCACCGGTCACTTCTCCGGTCTTTCCTCTTTCGACGGTGATTCGATACCTCCAGCCACTTCACTATGGGCAATGTCGGAAGCCGCCTGGATGACTCCGGGAACCTGTACTTTAAAGACCAGGCCAAATGTACGCCCCTCTTTGATTAAGGATGCAACAGATGTTGTAGCTCATTTGGACCCGTCTAGTCACGATTGCTGCTGTAACGATAACCAATTCTAGGCGCCGAGTGCTCCTAAATCTCGTTCCCAACTCCTTTCCTGCTACCAGATACACCGCTAGGCGCGAGGTTGGCGATGAGAGCCCGATCGAATACATACAGGTAAATCGAGAACGCCGGCTATATCGTGGCGG